ATATCTTGGGACCATTTAATTCTCCTTTACAAACGAACAAACAGACCTGGTGAGGAGGTTGGGGGGAGAGGCGAACATTCTCATCAGCGTTCCTTGAGCTGCTCCAGATGAATCCCATCTCTTCAAACAGTATTTCTACATGCAAACTCTTGCCCACAGTGGAGAACAGTTTGCATGCAGCAGAGATTCCCATGGCAACGCCACCTGAGGCTGGGAATAACGGGCATGATGAGCAGACCTCCAATTTCTCCATCCCACGCTAGCTTCTGCCATTTGCCAACCCCGGGTCCTCACATTCATTATGCTTACCTGTCTGAGCTTCGGTTTCACCGTCATCTAAAACCGAGCTTGCAGTAATAGTTCATAGTTTGCTGTCTCTTTGTGAATGACTTCAGACGGAAAAAGACGCCTAGATGATTCTTGATGCACGTTCATCCTTATGACTCATTTGCCAAACCTCTTGGCGATCAGTAACTCTGTAGGACTCAAGGCAGGAGCTGCGAGCTCTCTCTTTGGTATAGCGTGAAATAATTAGTGACAGGTGTGTCCATCAAATGGTTGTAAGGTCGCCTCAGATTTTAAGCACCAGTGTGCTCATAGGTGTGGTGGAATCAAGGGGCCACTCCAAAATAGGTGACTGATTGGCCTCGGACATTTGACTAGAATCTTCTGCCCTAGCTAACTGGCCTACTTCCCTTTCTCCCTGGGCTGGTAAAGCTGCTCTAGTTGTAAGTGAATGTTGGCTAATGTCACACAAGCACCAAGGGACCAGGAAGAAACACTGCACTATTCATTTAAGATCCCACCCCTAAAAAGCCACATCCCATTGGCAGGGACAGAAGAACACATGTTGGCATTTGCAAAGCCATTTTCCAAACCCCTGAGCAGTAGAAACAAAACATAGATGACTCTTATCTCATATATTGAATTTAATATTTAATAAGTATGACTGAGTGTTAACCACCAGATAGACACTGTTAACCACTGATAAAATAGAGAGGTGAGTTAAATATCATTCTTTTTAAAGGCTATTTCTTTTCTGTGTATGAGCATTTTGTCTGCATGTGTGCCTACACTACACTACAAGTGTATCTGATGCCCACAGGGATCAGAAGAGATCTTCAGATCCCCTGGAGCTAGAGTTACAGATGGTTGCAAGCCACCATGTCAGTGCTGGGAACTGAACCTGGGTCCTCTGCAAGAGCAGCAAGTGCTCTTAACCTCCAAATCACTGCTCCAGGCCCCTGAAAAACCATTCTTGATCTCAGACTCTTTGTGTTCCGCTGGGAGACCTGACAAGCTAACTTTAGAACATAAAATAAATATGAAAATGAAAGTTCCCTAAGACTGTGCCAAACTACGTTCGTTCTGTTTGCAAAACAACGCCGGGGCCTGAGGCCATTCCCGTCTTTTTCTGAATTTCATCTTAGAGGAGAGTCCCTTGGCACAGTCATGCTATGCTGTTGGGTATGGAGTTACAGATGTATCTGTCACATAAACTCTGTTACCCATCAGGCTATGCTGTTGGGTATGGAGTTACAGATGTATCTGTCACGTAAACTCTGTTACCCATCAGGCCATCAAGTTAGAATGCCTGTGTTGGCCCAGCTCTGATCATCGGAAAACCCTACCTCTGCCGAGCATGTCTGAAGGCAGGCTTCATGTCTGCGGCAGGAAGCAACCTTCATGAAGTACAGAAACTGAAGTGAAACTTGGAACCAAGTGGCCAGGGCAGGCAGTTTCTGATCTGCTTCCCTCTCTGACCTCTGCCACGCCCATCCCCCCACCTCTCCACAGCCACCCTCCTCCCCTTTGCACTTTTTCTCAGACTTGGACTCTTCTCACAAAGTTCCTTTGTCTAAATTGACCAGCCCAGAGTTTCTGTCCTGTAGCGTGAAGACACTCTCTTGGGCTTTGGGTGGAAGAGTCCTGCATCTCTAGCGGGCTAAATTTAAAAACACTGGAATGGCAGGGGAAGAGGAATGCAAGGACAGGCTGAACCAGACAGAGAGCAAAGGGTAGCAGCCAGGCCCAGGCTGTCAGTGATGACACTTCTGCAGGGGCCTAGCTCTACCTTTCTCAAAGATGGACCGTCCGCCAACAATGTTTGTGAAGCAGGACACAGCAGTCAGCTTCTACCGGAGTTGCTGAGCCTTCCTTCTAGAAGAGGAACTCAATGAAGTGAATCCAATTACTTCACACATGCACATATGCACACGCATGCACACACGGGGGGGGGCTGATGAAAGGAGGAGGGAGGGAGAGAGAGAAGAGGAGAGAGAGAGAAGAAGGGAGTAACGTAAAGAGGACTTAATGCATGTTGCTGGAGAGATGGCCCAGCCTGCTCTCCTTGCAGAGGGCCAGAGTTTGGTTCCAAACACCCACTGCCTGTAACTCCAACTCCAGAGGATCTGACACACTCTGACCTCTGCAGACACCAGCACGCACATGCACACAAATGCAGACAGACTCACACACACACACACACACACACACACACACACACACAAATTTAAAAAAAAAATCCAAGTTCTCAAACATTTAGTCATTATAATGAATTTCACTTAAGGACTTTTAAATGTTCTTTATCAGAGAATAATATCTGGTTTTGTAATCTTTCCACAAACACCCTTTATCTGGTACACAATTCAGCCTTGAAGGAAGTTTAGCTGTTTGTACCAGTAAGAGGAAGAACCAAAGCACAGAAGAGCTGCACTAGGTCAGCAGGTACAGAGGGGCAAGGGAGGGCCAGTCCAGCCTGGTCTTGCTTTGTGAAGCCAGGAATCCTTCCACAGTGCAGGGGCAGCTGCCCGGCATAGCAGTGTGAGTGTTTCTTGGGGGATAGGACGCTAGCCCCGAGCTCACCCATGATCTTCTGAAGGGAGCAGTGTCCACACAGCCCTGAGCTCCCCCATCGCCTACAGAGGGGAGCAGGGTTCATAGAACCCTGAGCCTACTCTCAGACTGCTCTTGATTTAGGTAGCTGAGCTTTCATTCTGACTCCTACCCCACATATGACTGATACATTCTCAGAAATGCTCACAGTGATTAAAACAGTAAGAAAAGGAAAAAAAGACACATACGATGTGCAGGAGCAGGCCTGTACCCTCTGATAACTGCCAAGCCATTTGTCATTGTGAGCCCAGTGCCACCAATGTGAATAGGATACATAAAGGGACCCGGATCCTGTTGTTCTCAAAGGCAGCATCTTTTGTCTTCTCTAACACTTTGTGGCAGCCAGGGTATCTGATTGGACGGTCAGTCATGTATATGTAAGCACTGCATGGTGTTTGGGAGGGTACCATCATCATTAATGTTCTGGGCGTTTGCACCACCGAGAAGCTATTTTTCTGTCACTGTTTGCCCCTCTTTTGCTCCTATCTGCTGTCCCTCCTTTCCATAGTTTTTCCCAACTCATCTTCTCAAAGATGGCCACCTGTGGAGACTGCCTCTCCCTTCCCCACCGTCTGTCTTCTGCCCTTCTTTATTTATTTGTTCATAATGCATTTTATACCAGAAATGCACCGACCTTGTGCTTCTGGTCCTCAGACTGGAACAGGAAGAGCAGGTACCCTGTGTCTGCTGTTGTGACCCCATGGCCAGCGCAAGCATTTGGCACTGAGCAAAGCAAACTACTTAGTGATTGAATTACTTACAGCCTTCGGGTCTTGTGCAGTTCTGAACAGAGCTGCTATAGGAAAGACCCTCTTAAAATAAAAAGCAAGGAGGAGACCGGGGTAGAAATGGGCTCTTGCCTAACCCATCTAAACCCCTGGGTGTTATCTTTAACAATCCCACCCCCACCCCAGAAAATTAGCAAGAAGCCATTGCAGTAGAAAACAAGAAAAAGCCTTTGACTTTCTTTGTAGTCAAGTCTCTAGTTTCTGATTGACTGATCAGTTAGGGAAGTTTGGGGATGGGAAATGTCAGAATGCCAAGTCAGAAGTTCTCTGAGCCTCTGAATGATGTTCCCAGGGCCTACTTGACTGGGCTGAACCTCTTCTCTGCCTGGGCCTCTCTTATTGCAAACAAGCTTCCATCCGCTCGTACAATACTCACCCAAGTCCCAGACTCCCCTGGGGTGCTAGGAGAGCATGGAGGGAGGCCTGGGAGGCCGTGATTCTGAGGCCCATTGATGTTTGTGTCAATTCTGCTCTTCAGGAAGGGCAGCAGCATAGACCTTTCCCCATGTCCTGTGCTTTGTCCTAACGGCTTTGTTAAAGTCCATTTGCAAATTTCCTGATTATTGCTTCAGGTCTAGCTCAATCATCAAGTTTCTTGTGAAAGCCTTTCTTTCTTTCTTTCTTTCTTTCTTTCTTTCTTTCGTTCTTCCTTCCTTGCTTTCTGTCTGTCTGTCTGTCTGTCTGTCTTTTTTCCTGGTTTTTCGAAACAGGGTTTCTCTGTGCAACAGCTCTGGCTGTCCTGGAACTAGCTCTGTAGACCAGGCTGGCCTCAGACTTTGAATATTCCACTTTGTCAACATTACTCTACAGATCTCATCAGCCTGTTCATTTAAATGACTACATTGATTACTCATCTGAATCATGTCGTAATATGTCTCTGCATCCAAGTTATGTGCCTTGTGTGAAGTTGGTACTCTCTGGATGCTGAGAAGACCAGTAAGCGCACATGTGTATGACAATAGACAGGTGGCAAGAAGGCTCAGCTGGGAAGACAGGGCACTTGCTTCACAAGCCTGGTGACCTGGGTGTTACTCTGGGAGTTCCATGGTGGAAAAACAAAACTGACTCCAAAAGTTGTCCTCTGACCTCCACATCTCACACACACACAATCGCACACAATCACACACACACACACTTACACGCATACACACACACACACACACACACACACAGACACACACACACACATCCTCAAAACATTAAATAAATAGACTTTACTACAATCCTGCCAGTCACCTGCCAACAATTGGGTCTTCCCTTGGGGTCATATTAGATTATATGTGTGTGTTATATATGTGTATTTCTGTTTTCATTCAGGGACTCTGATTGTTTTGAAACATCCTTATCCAAGAAAAGTGGAAGAACCTTCCATTTATGAATCAGTCCGGGTCCACACAGCAATGCAGACAGGAAGAACAGAAAATGACCTCGTGCCCACTGCACCTTCTGTAAGTGCCCACCATGTTCTTCGCTGAATGCTGTCAGATGTAGCAAGAACTAAAGTTCATGGGCTTATCCAAACGTTCTAGCTTGGAGCCCACCTAGTGGCACACTCTCATAATCCCAGCTCTTGGGAGCCTGAAACTTGAGAATTGCTATGAGTTCAACCTGGGCTGAATAGGGAGTTCCTTGTCAGACAGAGCTTTCTTATAGCACCCTGTCTTGAAAAGCAAACAGACAGACAAACAAAAAATGATAAAACAGTATGTTCCAGAGGAAGTAAGTATAAAAATTGGATAGTAATATAATATTGAAGGCTATAATTTGGTCCATCTGGACTGATGAAAATTAAAAACAAAATGAAACAAAAACAACCCACAAATGCTTTGGCTGAGTGTAGCTCAGTGGTTTTAGTGCTTGCCTGCTATTGTGAGGTCCTGGATTCCATCACCAGCAAAACACACACACACACACACACACACGAAGTGGGAGGATGCCTTAGTGATAGGAATTGAAAACTTAGAGAATGTCACTGTCATGAACCACACAGGTTTACTGGAGAGTAAACGAGAGAGGTCCTCACCAAGTTCACTAAGCAGCCATTTTCTGACAGGCTGCTTAAAAACTGGAAAAACAATTCCCTTTGCATTTCAACCGTTCATGAAAGAAAAGCCTTCTCCAGCTTCACCATAAGACTTGGGGTACAACTGGGCATGAGGGTACACGCCTTTAATCTGGGCACTCAGGAGGCAGAGGCAGGCAGAGATTGGCTTCCAGGAGGTCAGGACTACATAGAGAAACCCTGTCTCGAAATACCAGAAAACAAAAGCAAGACAGAACTTGGGGTGCTATTTTTCTAGCCTTCATTCTTCACTGACTAGCACCCACAGAAAGTATTCTTACTTCTTTACAACATGAGCCCCCACTTTAGTATGCGTGTTACAGAATCGCTCGCTCGTTGTTCCTCCCAGAGTCCATCAGTGCATGTTCTGTGAACCACAGTCTGTGTGTTCCTCCTGCACCCGCTCCCTTCCCCATTCTCACGGTTCTTCTACATGCTATCTCTTCCTGGCATGCCGAAAGCTTCTAGTAGGAGGAGTCTCAAGTTTTGCTGATGATAAGAAAGGGCACTGCCCAAATAAAACACCAAGTCTACACTTGAAAAACAGCCTCTTGCAATTATGCCAGCTACCAACCTCATCAAACCGATGATGGGGCCTTCCTATCTCCGAAGTGATTTTTTTTTTCTTCTGTTCTTTGATGCCAAAGAAGGCTTCCTTATATGTACCACACTGGGTGTGATGGCGAGGTTAAATTTGTAGCAAGATGCTGTGCCCATAAAAGAGGAAGGAGGCCTGGGGTATAACTCAGTGGGTAAAGCACTAGTTACACAAGCTGAGGACCTGGGTTAAGATCCCTATACCCCAGAGGCGGAGCGGCGGGGCGGCAGAGCGGCGGGGACAGGTGTGCAATAAGGAGAGCAGATCGCCCTACTACAATTGAATCAAAGAGAGCTACAGTATTGAAAACAGCTTGGTATTGGCATAAAAACAGAGAAGTCGACCAATGGAATCGAATAGAAGACCCTGACATTAACCCACAAACCTATGAACACCTGATCTTCGATAAAGGAGCTAAAAGTATACAATGGAAAAAAGAGAGCATCTTCAACAAATGGTGCTGGCAAAACTGGATGTCAATCTGTAGAAGAATGAAAATAGATCCATATCTATCACCATGCACAAAACTCAAATCCAAATGGATTAAAGACTTCAATATCAGTCCGAACACACTGAACCTGATAGAAGAGAAAGTGGGAAGTACTCTACAGCACATGGGCACAGGAGACCACTTCCTATGTATAACCCCAGCAGCACAGACACTAAGGGCATCATTGAATAAATGGGACTTCCTGAGGCTGAGAAGCTTCTGTAAAGCAAAGGACACTGTCACTAAGACAAAAAGACAACCCACTGACTGGGAGAAGATCTTCACCAACCCTGCAACTGACAAAGGTTTGATCTCCAAAATATATAAAGAACTCAAGAAACTAGACCGTAAAAGGCTAATCAACCCAATTATAAAATGGGGCACTGATCTGAACAGAGAATTCTCAACAGAAGAACTTCAAATGGCCAAAAGACACTTAAGGTCATGCTCAACTTCCTTAGCGATCAGGGAAATGCAAATCAAGACAACTTTAAGATACCACCTTACACCTGTCAGAATGGCTAAAATAAAAAACACCAATGATAGCCTTTGCTGGAGAGGTTGTGGAGAAAGGGGTACACTCACCCATTGCTGGTGGGAATGCAAACTTGTGCAACCACTCTGGAAAGCAGTGTTTCGGTTTCTCAGGAAATTCGGGATCAACCTACCCCTGGATCCAGCAATACCACTCTTGGGAATATACCCAAGAGAGGCCCTATCATACAACAAAAGTATATGCTCAACTATGTTCATGGCAGCATTGTTTGTAATAGCCAGAACCTGGAAACAACCTAGATGCCCCTCAACGGAAGAATGGATGAAGAAAGTATGGAATATATACATATTAGAGTATTACTCCGCAGTAAAAAACAAGGACTTCTTGAATTTTGCATACAAATGGATGGAAATAGAAAACACTATCCTGAGTGAGGTAAGCCAGACCCAAAAAGAGGAACATGGGATGTACTCACTCATATTTGGTTTCTAGCCATAAATAAAGGACATTGAGCCTATAATTCATGTTCCTAGAGAAGCTAAATAAGGTGAATCCAAAGACAAACACATAGGCATCCTCAGGAATATTAACCTTCATCAGGCGATGAAAGGAGACAGAGACAGAGACCCACACGGGAGCACCGGACAGAAATCTCAAGGTCCAAATCAGGAGCAGAAGGAGACGGAGCACGAGCAAGGAACTCAGGACCACGAGGGGTGCACCCACACACTAAGACAATGGGGATGTTCTATTGGGATCTCACCAAGGCCAGCTGGCCTAGGTCTGAAAAAGCATGGGATAAATCCGGACTAGCTGAACATAGCGGACAATGAGGACTGAGAATTCAAGAACAATTGCAGTGGGTTTTTGATCCTACTGCACGTACTGGCTTTGTGGGAGCCTAGGCAGTTTGAATGCTCACCTTAGGAGACCTGGATAGAGGTGGGCAGTCCTTGGGCTTCCCACAGGTCAGGGAACCCTGATTGCTCTTCGAGCAGATGGGGAGGGGGGACTTGATCGGGGGAGGGGGAGGGAAATGGGAAGCGGTTGTGGGGACGAGGCAGAAATCCTTAATAAATAAATAAATTTAAAAAATAAAAAAAAATAAAATAAAAAAAAAAGATCCCTATACCCATGAAAAAGCAGGGCTCATTAACACACAGGTCCTTATCCCCTGTGAGAGGTGAGAGGGAGAGGCAGGGGAGCCTCTGGGCGTCTCAAGTCCAGCTAGCCTTGTGTGTGACTCTAAGGCAGAAGGTGAATATACTTAAGGTTGCACTTTGACCTCTATATACGTACTGTAGCATGTGCATGCACACAGGTACAATTGCTGTGTGTTTTTGTAACTTGAATAGTTAACGGTGTGCCTTATTTTTTTATCATTTTTCTACAACCCCTCAGAAATTGGTTAAGAAAGATGTGTGTGTGCGTGTGTGTGGGTAAGAGAGAGAAAGAGAGAAAGAGAGCATGTGCACGCGTGTACACTTGTGCACAGGGAAGGCAGCTTTATTAAAGGGTTCACGAAAGGAAGCATCAGATGTTAGAACCAGAGAAATCCAGGAAAGCAGAGTGAGTGATGCGCATTCCAGAGTCAGAGGGGACCAGCCATCTCCTACCTTCTGCTCAGTTCTTGTTTTGCATCCCCCAGTCCCTTCTGTTTCCTCTTTGCCTATACTTAGCTCTCTAGCCATCCCAAAGCCACCCCCTGTGTCAGCTGTCTGCCTAACTCTGCAGTCTCCTCTCCTAGACTTCTTCTGGTACTGAAGAAAAGAGTATTCCATACACTCCAGTCACACTCCCCTCCCCCAGCTTTTCTCAGATCCCTCATCTCCCTACCCACCCAACTCATGCCCTTTCTCCCTCTTTAAGAAACAAACAAAAAAACAAGAAATGCACCACGAAAACAAAACCCCAAATATACAAGCGAAATGCAAATAAGACCAAAAAAAAATGCCCCCCAAAAACAAAATGAGAAAAAAAATCTACAAAAATACCAATGAGTTCGTTATATGTTGGCCGATGATTCCCAGACATCAGGTCTACACTGAAGCCTGGTCGGTATAGCCAGTGAGATGCCACTGAAGAAAATGAATTTTTCCTTTGCCAGCAGGTATCAGTTGCAGGTAGTTTCTTGGTGAGGGTTGGGGACCCGTGTCCACCTTCCCCTCTCGGACTCTCTTAGATGATTCGTGGTCAGTGAGACTCTCATCTTCTACAAGTATCTTTCTTTCTTTGGTAGTAAGAATCAGCCAGTATGTAATCTGTAGCTTTGGTCTTAGCCGGGAATGCTAGGACCCTTTAGAGCAAATTATGGAAGTCATATACTTTCCACTTACTCCATGGGTCAGACAGTTCACCTGCCCAAGTATGTAGACACCGGAACACAGAAGGGAATTTTAAGCAGTGTTTAGTGCTTGGTCAACAAGGAACACAGATTATATCATGAGAAACCCATGAAATTGATTATGTACTGATACTGGCCAAAATAGCAAAGACTGTTTAATAGATCCTGAACCCTATCTCATCACTCTTTGCTTACGGAATCCTGGATTGGCATGGTCGAGGGAAGAGTTCTGGTTGGATTGGAATTATTGTCCCCTACTGAGCACAAGGGCTCTCTGTGTCCTAATTGTCCCAAGCAGCCATCTGATGTGGCACCTCTGCCTTCCAATTACAAACTCTGAGCTGTCCACACTTCTGCTTTCTCTTTGGAGAATTCAGTTCCTGCCTGAGCCCGCTCTGTGGAGAAAGAACATTGCATCATACCTATAGAAGAAGAACTTGCTAGAAGTAAAATTGAAA